GAAGGAAGTGGAGGTACCTACCTCACAAGGTGCTCTGAAACGTCGGGTACTTTGCGTATCCGAGCAAAACGCATCCGACAAACCCCACTGGACGGACTTCACAGCATCCAGGCGCACATGTTGCCCTTTTCCAGCCTATAATAAGCAGGTTCAGGAGAAGCCAGCGTGGATCCCGGTGGGATGATGTTTGGAAAAACGCCGGACTCTAGATGCGTAGGGCGCCTCCCCTCTCCGGACTCCCAGACATGTGAGTCCACCTTTCCTCTCTGGATGCTGACGCCATAAACAGACCCTTCCGCCCCTTCCTGCCGCCTCCAGTGATGGAACAGCGGTCCGCGGTGCGTCTCGTTGCGCAGGACGCCGGTGCCACCCACTAACAGGAGGGTTTCTGCGGACGGGCTGAGAATATTAATGAGCTTTGCTGCAGTTTCCCGGCTGAAAAAAAAAAAAAAAAAAAAACTCACTGGCTTAAAGGCTTTAAGGTTGCAGTCTCTCACTGAAGGATAAAATAATTCAATGATGAAGAGTTAAAAAGACAATGACCTTTCTGGATCCCTAACAGCCAGCAATTGCGGTGGTGGTGGGGGGGTTAAAGTACCTCAATGGCACACCTGTTGATAATTAGATAACAGGCTTATGTACAATCTGAACCAAACAGCTAGTAACATCTTATTTTGGGAAATACACTGCAAAAACGATCAAAAAATAAGTAAACATTTCTTAAATCAAGCGTATGAGTAGTAAAATGAGATATTTGCCAGTTGAATTAGTTTTTTTTACTCTTAAAATAAGATAATTAGATAATATGCACTTGTAATTAGACAATGCAGTTGCCTTTTCTTATATTAGATGTAAATTCTCTTGTTCCATTGGCAAAGTATCTCACTTACCTCCTCAATTCAAGACAAAATGCACTTATTTTAAGGAAAAATTACTTATTTGGATTTCAATTTTTTGCAGTGTATGTCCTGTTGCAACCATTATTGGGCTTTTATTATTTAACACACTGACAGTCAGTCAACATTTTGTCCATGACAAGTCAGACTTTTATTGTTTTAAGGATTATTGATTTCAAACTAAAGACCCCCATGTGTAGGTATGACTAGATTAGATGCATACTCCCAGTGGTGGTTCTACAGCAAATTCACAATTCGCATATATATTCATTGGGGCACAGAAAAGCATGAAACAAAAACAAACACCAGTAAAATAAATCTATCATTTAAAATGTATTTAGAGAGCCACAAAACCACAGAGCTACTTGTGGTTCTGCACTGAATTAAGTTAAATGTATTCATCTTTTAGTTCAATTACACCTTACCCAAAATTCTTTCTATCTCTGTTCTCCCACTCTGCAGAATCTGTTAGTTCAATCTCTAACGTTATGCTCTCTCTGCTTTTTATCATAGCAGCTTTGCCTCATCTGGTCCTGTTTGGTTTTGACACCATCCTGGAGAGAAATATCAGCTGCGCTGCTGCCATCAACGCCCTTTTTTTTTTATAGATGTTGGAGATTGGCCTGTTTTTCAGTGCAGTCCTGTTTCACTGACTGTAACTGACTGGACGTGCCCTCTTCATCCTCTGACATGGGAGTTGGTTCAGAGCTCATCTGCCTGGCTGTGTGTTTCCTGGACGGTGCCGCCTTTTACAGCTGCTTTTTGTATCTCTGCTTCTATCTCCTTGAACCCCAGTCGCCTCAGCAGATGGCTGCTCACACTGAGCCTGGTTCTGCTGGAGGTTTATTCCTGTTAAAAGGGAGTTTTTCCTCTCCACTGTCACTACAAGCATGTTAAGTGTGAGGAATTGCTTTGAGTCAATGAATCGAAGCAATCAACTGGTTTTCCTTAGAAAACTTTGAATAAATTTTACTGTATGATCTGGAGAACTGTAAAGTGCCTTGAGATGACATGTGTTGATTGGCCCTATATAAATAAACTGAATTAAATTGAAAATTGAATTGAAAATTAAAAATCCTTAGCAATTGTGGAAAAGTGACAAATTATTAGTTCCTAAATACATATCGACTAAAGGATAAATTAAAGTTATTCTTTGGAATATTAGTTAAATGTACATTTATAACTTAAGAATTTTACACACTTTCGGCTTATTTCAAATGACAAAGACCAGTTTTATATCCTGTATAAGACTTCTGGATAGATGCAAACTACATTTCCTTGTTTTGTACTTGTGACAGTGTAATGACAATAAAGTTAAATTCTATTATATTCTTTTAATCAAATCATACCTAGAACTGAAGTAAAACTGAAAAATTAATCTGTGAAAATTTTAAATATTCTTTTCAGTTTGGTTCAGAATAAAATTTTGTTGAAGAAAAGTGTGATTTTATATAAATGTCACTGAAGCTATCACTTAAATTTTTAAACAGAATTGTAAAGAAAAATCAAAAACTGATCGGGTCCCAAGGATCTATTAGTCACTATATCTGTTCCATCACATATCAGATGTAGACATATACTTATTTAGTCGACACAGGGGCTGATCCAGGGCCCAGGATCAGTTCTATGGGGCCACTGGCCCCTCTTCTTCTTAAGAGGGGTTGAAGGTACTAAACTGTCTCCAAAACTATCTGGAATATTAAATTATATTACTATCTGGGCCCTGTTTTTATTTTTTCCAACATTAAATTGGGTAAATACATTTTGGTCAGATTAAAGCAGGTACTAATTGAATTTAATGTGTTTTGCAGGCTTGATTGGAACTAAATAGGCCCCATATGGTTAGCCTCATATTGTCCATATTAGATCAATGTACTATAATGCATCATCGCCCTGCATGAGCTCATATATAATTTTCTGCATTTATAACTATATAACACAACCCATATTTATAAAACAGTTAGACTCCCTTTATGCATATTTCCTAGCTGTATTTGAAGCAAGCATAATATCATTTAACACATTTAAGCCCCACATCTTTTACCCAAAGTCTGAAATGAACACTCATTAAATCCTGTATACTGCCTTGGACTTTTACATTCTGCAGCATACTTGATCCCAATAGGAGCCCAACATGTTGACTGGGAGAAAAGCAAAACTCTTGATTTGTTCCTGATGTTTTTTTATTATTAGCCATTTAACGTTGAACTATTAATCACTCAGACATACACTTGAAATCAAATGAGGAACCATGGCTGTGTTGCCATAAAGGGAAAACTGCAGTGCAATTTTCATGCCCTTTGCGCTGTGCAGTAAGCAGTGGACTAACAGAAGCTAAGCTAATAGATAATGGTTAATTTACAAACTAGACTGACAAAACAGCTTAGGTGCCATTAGGTCTTAATTATATTATACTTTTATTAATGTCAAATGGAAATTAAATGTCGTACAACAATAAGTTGCAGGTGATAATAGCTGTGGGCAGGATGGATCTCCAGTAGTGGTCTGTCTTACAGTGGGTCCGCAGAAGCCTCTGACTGAAAACATTAAGAGGATGTTTGGGTTTGTCCATAATGGTGTTTATTCCAATGAAAACTTCTTTGTGATATCATGTCCTGAGGTTCTCGTAGAGTTCCCAGAACGAAGACAAACTTCTTTATCAGCTTGTCCAGCATGTCAATAACTTGCTGTCTCTTCAACTATGATGGTGGAGGAGATCACACCCTCCACCAGACAGCTTTAAAATCTTTGTTCTTTGAATAAATGTAAAAACATTTTTTATTCAGATTTGACCTGAATCAAGCCTAGAACTAAATGTAAGGGGGGTGATCAGTAGCACCTCAGATAAGCTCACCTGAGGTCTATTTCACTCCCATACATTGGTCACCATCTAAATATGAGCTGGAGGAAAGCTAAGACCCTCCTAAAGTGGGTTTACAGGCATTCTGCTAAAACTGCTCAGACACAAAGAAAAGGGATTTGCCATCGTCAAAGAAAACCAAAGCCTTGACAAATCTAGACACCCCTAGAGTCGGAGCTTTGCTGTACATGAGCAGAAAGCCAAACTCTGAATCCCTTTGAGGGACAACACTTCTGGTTAAAGCTTTGACGAAGCCCTGGAGTCAGTGTCATGGCAGATCTTTGTCCTGCAATCACCTTTCCCCTTTAAAGGCTCAACCCTGAGTCTGTACGGTAGCTGGTCCATCTATTAGGAGGTTAAACCACTTATCTGTCAAACAGGCATGAAACAGTGTGCTGCTGATTCAAATAGAATCAGCAAGACAAATAAAACAGTGCTCACTACATTAAAAAGATCATCACAGAAATTGGTTTTCAGGATTACAGCTGGGCTTTAAAACAATTTAAAACAACAAAAACAATTTCTTGTTTAAACATAAGAAGAAAAAGTGTCAGATAAGTTGAGTTTTAATGGAAGATTTTGAGCATTCTGCAGTTTTAACGTGGAAATATTCAATCACAAACTGTAAATACAGCCCTAAAACAGCTTATTTAGTCTGTCATATTGTATTCAACACTACCCCTATACTGCCCTCTACAGGCTGCAGCGTTTCACTGCACCCAATTACAAACCATGATTCAACATTTTCTGTACAGCACATTTCAGCCATCATCACTGCAGACTTAGCGTGAGCAGCATCATCTGCAATGGTTGAAACAGAGGCAGGAGGAAAAAAACCGGTGCTAAATTTTATTTTATTTCATACTTTATTTTAACAAATAAAAAGAAGTATTTACAATCATTTTTATTAGAATTAAAACAACTCCAGGCATGTTTGTGTCAATGTTTTAGTTCAAAGGGCTTTCCGTTTAGTGCCAGGAGCTTCTTCAGGAGCAGCTGCAGTCAGACAGTACAGCTCGATCTGTGGCGCTTTTTCCTTAAATATTAGAAAATAAGAAGAATAGAAGTATTGTTTTTTTTTTTTACAATCTAAAGGTTTGTCAGATATTTTTAATTTAAAACTTTTTGGTTTACTATTACCTTATGCAGGTGACTTCATGAGGTAATCTTAGACTTAGACAGATTTATTTGTCATTTTGTTTACGCGAGTGTAAAACAAAAATAAATTTAATTTAGAACAGCTCTCTGGACAATTTAATTTAATCTGCAATGTACTCAGGTTTTAAGCATGTCACTCCTTGTGCTGTGGCCTCAGCTACATCCACTCTGAAGTCTCCAGGTTTGAGACGAGTGAAATCTGCAAACAGGTGTGTGGTCTCTCTGTACAGCGATGGGGAGGGACTGGGCAGCACCTGAGGGGGAGAACAGATTTTAAAAGATGCAGGTTCCTCAGAGACCTGAAAGTCCTGAAATACAAAAAAATAATGATTTAATTTCTACAAAATAAGAAGAAATTTGTTTCTCGGATTCTTTGTTGATGCCAATTAATTCAGATTTTACATGACGTTGTTTTAGTTTGCACCGTGGAAAGACAACCTTTCAGTTTTCAGTTCTTGCTTATATCTTAAATTCCTGAGATAAACTGAACTCTACAGCATATTTATAAATACGATCTAACTGGAATCTATGCATCTCTCTTCCTGGGAACTCTGCTGACGACCTGGAGAACCAGAGCTTTTAAGCCCCAAGAATTGAGTACATCTTTCTGTGAGGTTTGCTTGAACCTTAAATGATTTTAATTCTTTAAAAAGAAATATATATATATATTTTTAAGCTGCTTTTTAACTCCAAAGTGCAAAATCATAAGGTTTGTTCGTTCTTTGCCTTCTATTGCTTATTTTATTGCTTATACTGTCAACATGTTATTTTCTCTGCTTAGTTCTTGTGCAGCACCTTTATTTGTTACAGTGAATTAACTGTCAAATTCAGTGTAGAAATTGGATTCACTGGTTGGGTTAAATGGCTTTATATACGCAGTAAATCTACTGTTTAGATACGCTAATTTAAAGTAAGCTTTAAAATATATAAAAAAAAACATTTACTAAATGCAGGACTGTGTTTATGGATGAACAAACAAAAACAAATTGGTTAATGTAAGGAAGCTGATGGAGGGACGCTTTTTGCATTAAGACCATATGAATGTAGTAAAACAAAGAAATCAAAACATCCTCTATTTGCTTTTCTAAAACTTCTCTAGAACTGGAAAACACTTCAGATAAATTGCAAAATGTTAGTATTATTTTAGTATTCCACAAAACATTAATGATGTATTTTTAAAATATCACAATTTTTAAGGTTTAGTCCCAACGTTCCAACATTAATTTAACTTCAAGGATGGAGAAAACCCACCTGTTCATTAAACCAAACCTTATAGTTTAGTTTAATAAAGCTGCTATTAGCTGGATTTGTAAAAGAAAACTGTTGCCATCTCTGGTCTTTGTCACTCCTTACAGTCCTGCATAGATCCCTTTATGCTGTCTGGACTTTCACTAAGATCAAAGAAGCTCTGTCGTGTTGAGATGCGACAGAAGAAGCCCTGCCTGCCTGCAGAGCTGCTGTAACAAACTGTGCTAGCTACAAAATGTGCTTTCAAAGAACTTTCCAAACAATAGAGGCGTTTAGCTTGGTTTGGTGCAGGGCTGTGGGTTTTGGCAGCATGTGGCTTGTAGAATAAAAGCAGGGACAAACCTTGGCTCCACCAGACTGCAGTAACCGCCTGAAGCCTGACTCTCTGCTCTGGTCGATGTTCAGCATCACAGTCCAGCCACTGAAAGCTCCCTAGAGAAACAGTATTGCTGAAATCAATAAACACTAAACGACCCAAAGCAGATATAACCAAACACTAAAAGTTTGTCTAAAAGTGTTGTTACAAATAAATGTAGAAAATACAGATATTTCCTAATCTGTGGTATTTACAAGCCTCTTCTAATAATCTCTATAAAGGCTGATCCCTGGTGTTCAGAGGAAAGGCTTTTCTCATTGGTAGCAACAGCATTAATGAGCCGTGAACTCATTGTTCTGTTTTGATCCGGTACGTACGCCGTGTTCTGAGCCTCCCTGCAGAGCTTTTCTCCAGCGCATAGCAGCTAAGACCAACCTCCTCTGCTGAGAGGTGAAGGAGGGCAGAGCATCCAGGATTGAGCTGCTGCCCCATTCATAGTCGTCCTCCTGCATCACAGGAAGAAACAAAAAGAAAACCAGACTGAGCAGAAATAATATCCTAATATAAATTGAGGACTATAATGTTCACATTTTGGACAAAGGAGACAGGTGGTTTGAAAAGGGTATGAAGGAAGCCATTTATGTTAAGAGAGAAAAAACAACCTTAAACAGAGTGGGTGGTCTCAGATTCCATCTCTCAAAAACCTACAACGCAGTAATAGAGTTGATTCCTTCCCACTATCATATCAACCCCCATCACCATGCAGTGAACCCAACATCTCGACCTGTCAGCCAGGCCAACAATGAGCCTAACAACTCCCCTTTCAGAGGCATAGGCCAGTACCGGGTATTGCAGGCTAACAAACACCTCAACGTTACCCCATTACTAAGGATTGGACCTGTTCTGCCGGCTCAATTTGCATGTTTTCTAAGCCATAAAAGGCTTTGTTGTGTAACTCTATAAAGCTTTGAACTCAACGCTAATCAAGACATTTTGAATTGAAAAAGCTTCCTGGATGTGAAGCGAAACTTCTTCAAACTTGCAAAACAAAGTCCAGTGGTTTGTTTATATTTTTTGGAATGGCTATGACCTGGATGACTGAGAATCTTCACCTGCATGTTGCAACTATTCCAGTGCTGCTCCTTCTGTTAGCTATCCATTGTTAACATTTTGCCTGATTTGTGAATAAATTATTTTTAATTATTTTTGCTTAAACTGAGGATTGTCATCAGTGTCATTTATATCATGCAACAGAAAAATAAAACAACATAGGCTCTAAGAATCGGCCCATAAATATTGGCAGGGATTGGTTAGACTGCTGTCAAAGTATCAGTATCAGCCTTTGAAAAACCTGTATCGGTCGATCTCTACTGCATATATAGTCATGTTAAATAACAGAATAGTGTGTAAAGTAGTTAATTTAGTTATTTACTTAGAATGCATTTTATACCATAAAACTAATGTTTTCTACTCTTTATTTCATTTTAACCAGTTTATTTTAGACATTTCATTTTAAAAGTTTAGTCATTGAAATGGGATTTTTAAGATAAAATATCAAATGAGATGAATAAAAAACATTTTTAATACAGAAAAAATGGCTTAATGAATGAAATATCTGCGTAAAGATTTTCAAAATGTAAATTCTATTTTACATATATTCTAATATATTAAATGAGAATGTGTTGCTTAAAAGTCTTTAATAATTTAGTCAGATAATCATGCTGCATGAAATGGTATAAAAATCAGCTTTTTAATATTTTGATGTTTGATCCCCAACAAAGGTGATAGACTCACCGAGCTCCTCTATGAGATGACTGTAATCAATGCGCTCCTGAGGGCTGAGGGATGACAGCTGAAACCTCGGCGGCTGTTTTTTCTCCTCCTTTTCCTGATAGAAATTTAACAACTTCATGCAGCAGTTTGGTTGAGACAATCGGTAAAGTTAGAGTAAACGTTACCTGTGGCTCTGGTGTTGCCAGTGGTTTGGGGAGAGGGAAGGCAATGCTGGGAGCTTTAGGAGTATGCATGTCCTCCTCTGGACCCTCTGACGGAGGCGATGTGATCTTCTGACCCATATGCTGGTTTATACCTTCACAATCAGCTGTGTGGAAATAAAAGGAGAAATACAGACACCATATATACATATAGTGAAGACAAAAATATAGAAAAGCTGAGCCCTGCCTCGTCTGAAGTTTCCATCTAGTGATCAACCAAGAAAGCAGACAGAATGAAGAAGGTGAGAACAGAACAAACACCAGAGGCTGCAGACTCACGCTTTGCCTTATTTATAAAATAATAAAAGGATTTTAGGAAATTGTTACCAAAGATGCACCTCATGCCAAAGAAATATTAATTTAAATCTGGTAATGATCAAGATTCTGTGTGAGTTTTAGCGTAGTGCTTTTCTAATTATTATTATTGGGTCTTCCAAAAGGGTAATGATCTAGAACATACGATCAAATCCAGACGCCAAACACTAAATCAAGCTTCTTTAATGACATCTCTTTGACATGTATAACCATTAGTTCAAAAGGGTGACAATCAGCAGTTTATCAGTTATTATCATTTTGCCACAAAGAAAGAAATGCTTAAAATCTTTGAAAGGAGAGTACTGTAAAGATGGGTGAAACTGTCTTTTTTATTTTCCAGTAATCTCCTTAAATATATATAACATTAATTAACAAACCGTTTTCTGACAGGAACATATGACAAAAAATCTAGTTATGAAAAGAGCATGAATTCTGTACTTATTATCTTTGATGTTAGTATATTGATGTGTATAATTAACCACAGTGTTTTTGTTTTCAAGTCATTGCTAATCTATGAAAAATGTAAATGTTTTGAATATTGAGAGTACTACCCCTGGTTCTTTAGTGATAAAAGTGAGATAAAAAAACGAATGCATCACTTCTTTACAATCTTTCTTAGGTTACTGTACGGCTGAATGTATCACAAATCATAGCCCCACAATCACAAAAGTATAAAATTTAAAATGAGCTTTTTTAAGACAACAGTTACTCCCTCTCTCATCTGCTGAAGAACACTGCCTGCCAGCTGGCTGAAAAAAAGGCTACGGTAACTAAAAAAAGAAGAAACGTGGAAAAAAAGCCTCCCTTGACCACTCATTTTCTCATTAAAACATGAGTCAAAATCAGAATGTAAAGGTTTCATCTCAAAGAAAACTAAAGGTTGCAAAACTGATCGTGACAACTTTCCAGTAACAATTAGAAGATGCTTATTCTGTAGTTGTAGTAACTTATTTGCATCAAATTTGAATAAAAAAATATGTTATTTCTAACATTATTGTTGTAAAAATCAATATGATGGGTAAGCAGCAACAGAAATATTCCATCTCCTTATTTGAACGCAGACGTTGTCTTGCAGCGGAACTACAAACGCATTATCTTGACTCCGGTCGGACGGATTAGCCCGTTACACCGGAAGTTGTAGCAAAGGCGCGAATAGTGTAAACAAAAAATGTCCAGTTCAAGTAGGAAACTGTTATGAATACGACCCTTTTCAGTATATGTGTTTTTATCTAACTGTGCTTATAGTATTGGTGGTGTCGGTCCAAAGCCTTTTAAATAGTTTAGACTCATTCGTTTTAAACGGATAAGTGGTTAGATTGTTATGGTTAGCCATAGATGCCGACACTGAATGTTAAGCTGGTACGGAGTAACAGGCTAGCGTTAAAGTTAATTTATTTTGTAGTACAGAATATGTCTATATATTTTCAAACAGCCTGAGTCCTTCGAGAGGTAGGGGGTGCAGTTCCAACACTAGATTAATTTTAGCTTTTGGTTCATGCTAAGCTATACAATATCTTGTTTATTGTTCATATTTAGCAAGGAACAATAACTTGAAGTTGGTCCAGTGAGACATCTGTCACTCATGTCAAGAGTCTCCTTGCTGCTCATCCTTCAGGTACAAGTTCAAAATGTCTACAGCTGTAAAGCAAGACTTTGTGGTGAAGTTTGTGGAAGGCAAAGGCTCTAAACCACAGCATGCTGTCAAAGCATATAAGGTAAATATAGCTGATTTATACTTTGGTTCGTTTTGAATAAATGTTTTTTGTTTGTTTTTTTAATCTAATTGATTGTGTTTGAAGTTCTAACTGTGAGTCACATTTATATAGGCCATTCTGGAGCTGCAGTCAGAGAAGTTTTTAAAAGCCATCCAGGAGGAAGAAGTGTTACAGATGGATAAGAAGGACAGCTCTCTGTTTGTTTTCAGTAGCTTCACCACTCCAGCTTTCCTGCACTGCAAAAAGGTCTGAACTCAATCTGTTTGTATTATGCAAGTTTATATAGTCTAATGAGTATTTATGTTGCTGCTTAAGTATCATATTGATTTTTTACAACTACAATGTTAGAAATAACATATTTTGTGTTATTCTAACTTGATGCAAATAAGCTACTACAGAATAAGCATCTTCTAATTGTTACCTGAAAGTTGTTATGATCGGTTTTGCTACCAAATTTGGTCTCTAGTTTTCTTCGAGATGACACCTTTCAATTCTGATTTTGACACATGTTTTAATAAGAACATTAGTGGTCAAGGGAGTTTTTTTCCCCCACGTTTCTTTTCTTACTTAGCCTTTTTCAGCCAGCTGGTAGGCAGTGTTCTTCAGCAAATGAGAAAAGAACACTGAGAACAAAGAGAAACTATCCAGCACATTTTCTGTAATTTTAATCCAAGAAATGTTACTGTTAAAAGGGTAATATGAAATTACAGCAGTGTTAAATATTGCCTTTTTAAAATCATGTCAGATGTTAACCTCTAACTCATTATTTGGTCTCATTTCTGTTTTTTGCTAAATACAGCTTGGTTGCAGAATAGTGAGTCCACTGGTGGTTTTGCACTGCCTGCAGCAACAGCGTTGTGTCCCAAAAGCAGAAAAACCAGTGTATAATATGGCAATGGCTGATATTACCATATCCTGCACGAGCCTGGATAAAGCAACTCGGGTTGGTTCTAATCGTCTTATGTATTGAAAAAGCTCCTTTTTTGGTTCACTTTCTTATTGCATGGAAAGAGAATTTTTGAATGGAACATTTAAAGGTTTGTTTGGTCTCTCTAAAGGCTGAGGTGATGGATTTGGTGCAGCTCATGGGTGGGCGGGTCTATTGTGACCTTAATGTGACTGTCACACACCTGATTGCCGGGGAGGTAGGAAGCAAAAAATACCTGGTGGCAGCCAACCTGGGAAAACCCATTTTGCTGCCTACATGGGTCAAAGCCTGCTGGGAAAAATCACAAGATAGGTAAGCACTATTTCTCATCATGATAGGAATTTTGATTTATCTTCTAAAAACATGTTTGAATAATGGATGTATAAAAACTCAACAAAATGTTTTTTTTTTTTTTTTTTCTTTCTTGTTTTTAAATTGGGAAGCTTGACAAATATGAAGAATATAATTGAATGTGATCACTGTGTTGTGTTTATTGGTAAAAAATCCCACTTATTTTCTAACTGTTGTCATGGAACAGCTCATTTTAAATGTTCATATTTTTCAAGAGCATTATTTGTGATTATGGGGCTATGATTTGTGAGACATTCAGCCATACAGTTACCTAAGCAGACTGGAAAGTAGTAAGGAATGTTGTATTTTATCCTCACTTTTATCATTAAAGAACCACGAAACGTCTTGATAAGACTTTAAGTAAATATCTTCCATCCATTGTGAGCACCTCACTGAACCCTGTTGCTTCATTAAAGGGACGTTCCTGTCACAAAATGGTTTGTTAATTAGCGCTGGAAATATTCTAGGAGATTAATGGTCAATAAAAAACAGTTTTACCCATCTTTACAGTACTTTTCCTTTAACATTTTAAGCATTTCTTTCTTTGTGGCAAAAGGATAATAACTGATAAACTGCTGATTGTCACCCTTTTGAACTAATGGTTATACATGTCAAAGAGATGTCATTAAAGAAGCTTGGCGTCTGAATTTGATCGTATGTTCTAGATCTTTACCTTTTTAAAGACTCAATAATAATAACTAGAAAAGCACTACTCTAAAACTCACACAGAATCTTGATCATTACCAGATTTAAATGAATATTTCTTTGGCATAAGGTGCATCTTTGGTAACAATTTCCTTAAAATTCTTTCATAAGTTTATAAATAAGGCAAAGTGTGAGTCTGCAGTCTCTGGTGTTTGTTCTGCTCTCACCTTCTTCGTTCTCTCTGCTTTCTTGGTTGATCAGTAGATGGAGACTTCAGGCGAGGCAGGGCTCACCTTTCCTATATTTTTGTCTTCAGTATAATACACCTGGACTAATTTAGGTCCAATGCAGAAGCCGTCAATAGCTGCTGCCACCCTCTGGTTTACGAGGGAACGGCTTTATCTGCCAAATAATGTTATAGAATATTTTAAAACATTCCTGCATCCAGATTATGATATGAATTGTCACCAAAATTTACGTCTTTTTGCTCGATCATTTAAATCCGCTCTTAAATTTTCAAGAATTCCTGTATACAGACGGACAAACAAACACACAAACTTGACTAAAAACGTAACCTCCTTGGCAATGGTAATAATAACTTTGATTATAAACAACAATGAACTAGATAATTAAAAATAATCTATTGAACTAGATAAAAAAATCTCTTGGTGTTAACGACACTGACCAGTCTGATGAGGCTCTTTGTTGCATGATGCTTCCATGATGTCCGCGTAGCCAAATAACTTTGCTTTAGTACCCAGGCACCTCTGAGTGAAAGCTCCTACTGGCGAAAGTTTTCAAACAGAAACATCTAGAGACTTCTAATGATTTTGCCCATAATTATCACTACGTTCCGCAGATCGGTGAAATCACTGTCACTCCTGGATGAGGGACGAGGCTTTGAAATTGTTAGAAACAGCTGTGCTTTCCACTTCGTGTTGTGTGATGTTGTAAGCTTGTAATCTGTTGAAACTCGACCCCTTAGAATTGACAAGAATTTGAAGGTACGGGGATAAAAATGCCACACAGAGTGTAAAAGCTGCTGATGTTGGATCCATACATCTTGTTTCAGCGAGTCAAGAATGACTGAATCTTTAGAGCCTTCTGAAGAGAAAGAGAAATAGCATCACATGTTTACTGTTTTCTGTTACAGAAACTGAATTGTTTGTAGCTAAAAAGCTCATTAATATCTATCAGTGGCGAGTTCTCTTATCTGTCCTTTTTTGAAGAGTTGGTAGAAGAAAGAGGTGATTTTGCGTCATCTTATTTTTATTTTACAAGAAGCAGTGGATTTCTGATCAAATATCAATAAAGACTGCTTCAGTCAGAGTTATCAATGGAATAGCCATGAATCCCCGTAACAAAGGTTGATTTTTCAGAATTATATTTTATCCTCCCAGATAACTCCACCTAATTTGAATATGAGAGTTTTGTGATTTTAATTTTTTAAATGTATATATTTTTGTTGTGTTCGAGGCTATACAGCAGCTCCATCTTGATCAATGATCCAAATAAGTGCAGGATGCTGTCTCACGGCCAAATCTCTCTGTACTCTCCTCTCCAGCCTTTTCAGGTACACAGACCTGCCCGTTGAGGACTACCTGTGCCCCGTCCTGCTTGGATGCAACGTCTGTGTAACAGGCCTCTCCGGCACGGAGCGCAAAGAGGTGCAGAGGCTCTGTGAGCAACACGGCGCCAAATACACCGGCCAGCTCAAAATGAACGAGTGCACACACCTCATTGTTAGTGAACCGACAGGTAAGGTTAAGAGGCCGCCAGTAAGAAAATGTTTTTACTCCAGTTTTGTTCTTAAATCTCATGTTTTTGTTGCTTTGGTTGTTGTGCTGAGAGGATATATTTGATCTGCAGGTCAGAAGTATGAATGTGCCAGGAAGTGGAACGTGTATTGTGTGTCTTTGCACTGGCTGTTTGACAGCATAGAGAAGGGCTTCTGTCAGGATGAGAGCAGGTACAAGGTGCAGAGGAATGCATCATCAACCAGTCGGCCTCACACTTCAACTCCTACGGGCACCAGCAAGAGAGAAGGTAGCTGCAAATTTCTCATGCAACCTTTTCACTTTATATGTATTAAGAAACAAAGATACACCAATCAGATGTTACTTTGCTGATTTCAGCATCTATTCTTTCTCTTTCTGATTTTTTTATTATAAAATCTAAAAGATTAAAGAAGGGCACACAGTATGTTCCTGTTACTTTTCTTTTAATGGGTTGTTTTAGAAACTCAGAGAAAATGTGTCACTTTGCTTGGTGGGTAGCACTGTTGCCTTGCAGCAAGAATTATTTCCTCATTGGGTTTGCATTTTCTCCCTATGCATGTGAGGGTTGTTTTTCTGCTCTCCGGCTTCCTCCTAAAGTCTAAAATTAGGCCGTTACTCTAAATTACCCCTGTAGTGAGGGTTTATGTTCAAGGTTGTTGTTTATTTTTCCCTGTTTCTCTCTGTTGTTTTTTTATTATGTCAATAACCTGCAGCCTAAATTGATGGTTGGAATCGCCAAAAACTAATGTGAACCAAGAAAAAAATAAAGTCCAGTTTTAATTCCCAGCTGACTGATTGGTGCATCTGTTTATAGATTAGCCACCATTGTCCTGCAATGGGCTCTGAGCCATCACTGAGGTCTGTCTGTGATGATGTTGTGTTGTTTCTGCAGATGGATCATCTCTCTTGGGTCTGAGCAACATTTCTATCAGCACTAGTGTGCCGGTAAACGACACGGCTCTCACCAATTTCACCACCAGTCGATTGGAGACGCCCGATCCCATAGACAGCGTAGACCTCACCGTGTGCCCTGCTGATGACGTGCTGGACGGCTGTAAGGTAATCATTAGAGAAACACATCTTGATTAGACACAGTTGGTGCTTCAGGTTCCTGTCCGCATATTTTTGTGTGATTTTTGTGCTTCTCTATGCTGAAATTTAAGCCACTACACTTGTTTGTTTGTTTGTTTTAATTCTCTTTTTTATGATAGAGGGCCCTTTGGCTGAAATCTGGGCTCCTTTCTCTGGGGTTCTATCCAGCTAATTTCAGTACAAACACTGGTTGCACTGAAAGTTGTCAAAATGATCGGGAAATGAGGCTGATAGTTTTAATGAGTGTAAAGGCCCGTGTGTTTAAACACATTTACCTCCTTTTTTGCAGATGTTCTGATTAAAGTGAAGATAGAAAGACATCTTTAGAAACCTCCCAGGTTATCACCCTGTGTGTTGACCTTCATGCTTTCACTGTTTCACAGTTGTATCTAAGTGGTTTCCCCGAGAAGAAGCTGGAGAAGTTGCGGCGGCTTGTTAACGCTGCTGGAGGCCTGCGCTTCAACCAGCCTAGTGAGGATCTCACTCATGTAGTCGTAAGGGAAGTGGACCAGGAGCTCCGGAAATTTCTGTCCACAGCGACTCACAGGTTTAAAACTCCAAACATAATTTTTCAGATTTCTGTTCTTTTGGTTTGAAATATGTTTGGTTTTAAATTCTCAAACTGTTAGAAATAGAGCAATAAAAGGGTTCATATTTACCATAAAATAATGGTTCTGATTGGTTGTTCCTGTATAACGTTTCAGGCCGCATGTGGTAACAGTGCAGTGGCTGCTGAACTGCTTCTCCAAAGGCACCCTGCTCCCAGAAGAGGGATACCTCCATCCTGAATGTCTTCCTCCAGCATCCGCTGCTGTGTCTGTCCCAGCTCATCGCCTGGCCAGACCGCGGTCATCAGTCGGCCCACCCGTCGCCAACCCCAGCACTCCCAGGGAACCAATAACAGACGAGGATCTTCTCTCACAATACATGGACGATGAACCTACAGTGGGTAAGAAGCTGCTGCTTTAGACATCAGTTCAATCGTGGATGAGAGTATTAAAGTTTTGCATTTGTTTTATCTTTGAAGTCGATATGCCACCACCAGCACCAGAGAATAACGACACAAAGTCCTTCAGTGTCGCTGCAGAGCCTCAACCTGAATCCTGGACCCCCAACCACACTAGAGGACCAGAGACAGACTCGCTGCTGCAGGACGGCCTGTTTTCTGGGAGATCTTTCCTGCTTGTTGGCTTTGATTCAGAGGCAGAGGCTCAGCTTTCGATTCTGGTGAAGGAGCAAGGAGGGAAGGTGTTGATGAGCCGCCATCGAGCGGTAGCGGATTTTGCTGTGGTCCCTCAGCTGGGATGTGCAGTGGAGGCCACCGTGGATGAGGTGGTCACAGATACATGGCTGGTAGGAACTCGCATCGTCTTGTCCAAACCTTATTTTGTGATTTATTTCTTAGTTTCAATCGATACAATATAATTTCGGTAACATGAAAGACTCAGAAGAACCCTGGAAATGTTATTTTTCATTTTTGTCCTGCAGAATGAGGAAAATTCTTCAGAGTTACATACATTTTTTTCTCTCCATTGATTGCAGGCCATGTGTGTGGAGAAGGAGTCCCTCCTGCCGCTGTCCTCTAACCCTTTGTTCACCCCTGTTCCTGTGAGGGAGGGATATTTTCCTCTCACAGACTGCGTCCTCTCAGTCAGTCAGTTTACTGGGGCAGAGAGGGAGTCTCTGGTGGAGCTGGCCAAGCATCTTGGAGCCAGGTTTGTCTTTAAATTTACTACTGTGGTAGGTTTTAACCATGCTTACATTCATTTGGCAATAATTATATGAAGTTTATTTGTTCATAATTAGGACTGCCTCTCTGGCCTCTTTGGGACTGTGTGAGCTTTCTAAAGTAGACTTATGACATATGTGGGGCTACTCTAATGTGTGTTATTAACAAGAGGAATTGTTTTATTGTGTTATTATTATATAAGAGGTACCGCATTCTTGTTATTGTTTAGTAAAATTAGTCTATAATTATTTCCAAACATTTTATTCATATACTGTGACAAATATTCATATTTCAATTAAACTGAGAAGCAAAGGAAACCCAATAAATTGGCTGTAAATGTTTTTGTCCTTAATCTAAAGGTTTAGTCACACCTTGACGATTTAGACAGCGTGTATCTGACGTATGAAAATTTGGCAAAAACGCGGGCATATGTTGAATAAGTTATGGGTACGTTTTGTATAAGTTATGAGCACGCTGAAACACGCTGGCATACGTCAACATACGGCAAGTATGTCGGGCTGGCATACGTAGAGAAATTTTGCTCAAAATTTCCCTACGTATGCCAGGGTATGCTCATACTAAGGCCATAAGTTACAGGTAAGTTATTTGATCGTTGACATACGTTAAGTGTAAGCTACTCAGAAGTCATGGTGTCTTAGCTTTTCTAAAACCTATGAGTATCATGTGCATAACTTATGCGTAAATCAGGAACTCGTCTCCAACGTATATGAAGTGTTTCAGACGACTGCTGAACGTGTTTCTAACCAACAAACTTCCTAGCAGGCATAACGTTGAATCTGCTGCCATTACAAACCTTTTTCTTTTTTGTTTTTCTTTTTATTTCTTCTTTTTTTTTTGGTGGGTGGTAAACAGCAGTTAGATTAATGCCGCGATCAAAGACATCTTTTTATGCAGGCCGGGCGCCTCCGGGTGCATCGCTGCTCCCCTCAGGACACTGGCTTGTGGCATTTCATGGGCATTAAGCTGCTGTGCGTTATTCATAAGTTAGGCTGTCATTGGATATAAGTTCTGGACTTGTTATGAATAAATACACTTTGTATACGCCCAAAATTGAAAAAATACATAGAAAGTTCAGTTTATGCTAGTGTTTTATAAGATTCTGGGACGTCAGGCATACGCTGGCTAAATCGGCAACGTGTGACAGCGCTCCAAGTCTTTTAAATAAAGCCCTGCCTTTAGTTTTAATTTGCCCTCTTCTATAGGAACCAGAACTGGGCAGGATGGCTTAAAAAAATCTTATCTCTCCCAAATGGTGCAGTGCCCCTTATGGGTGGCTAAATGTAATTGAAGGAGGCGTGGTAGAAAATATTTTAATAAATGACCCAGTTTGAGAGGTTTCTTTTCCTGCTACATTTCAAATATTTGCACTTTAAAAGTGGTTGTTTTAACAGTTTAAAGTAGGTGCTGTTTTTTCTATTACGATATTCAGTTTACTGCTGCTGACTTTTTTTGCTTTAATTGGGGGGCGCAAAAACTTTCTTGTAACACGATTGTTAATATTATTGGTTGATTATTTTTTAACTACATGTTTGTTTTTATCTTGAATCAAGACTTGTGGAAATTGTTTTTATTTCATCCTATAAATGAAGAAAGAAAAAGCATAATTTCTGCCCAAAACGATCGGCAGCAAAAATGAGTTAAACTGAAGTCAGAATCATCAGTATCGTCATTGGCCTGAAAAATAAACCTCTTTAGTCCATCTTTAATGTGCAAGAATTAATGTTGACTCTTTTCTATGTCACAGATGTTAAGTTGTAGAATGTGTTCAATCCGATCAACTTGATGTTTATTATATCTCATTAAATAAAGGAAAAGTTTTGAAAGAATGTGTTATGATGCATACTGCTTTTAACTGGGGTCTTCTCGCTGTTTGATAAACATCCTGCTTTCTTAAGTCTTTAACCTTTCTCCCATTGCTGCTGCAGTGTCCAGGATTACTTTGTGCGCCTGGCCAACCAGAAGAAAGGCATGCGGGCCAACACTCACCTGGTGCTACAGACTCCTGACGGAACAAAGTACCAGGCAGCTAAGAAGTGGGGGCTTCCTGCTGTCACCATGCACTGGATACTGGAGTCTGCTCGAACGGGGAAGAGGGCGGCGGAGGAGAGATATTTGGTGGATCTCCCCTTGTCTCCAGGTGATATTCCTGTTCCCTGTAGATGACTACAACAAATCTGCTATTTTAATGTTTGCTGGAACTTAATAATGAAGTAAAATTGGTCTATAAAGTTGGATTCTGAAGTATTCCTTCTCGTTTTGACATTCTGTCTTGTTACAATCTTAGCTACGTCTTTCACTTGTAATATTTTTTTAGTAAATTGAGGAAAATTAGTGGGGATTTTTTACGGGATCAGTTCTTAGTACTGTGGCTTTTAACTTCTAGAGAATTAAATGTTTCAGTTTTTCATAAAAAAATAGCTCAAGTTTAGATTTAAAAAGGGGCCAGAAATTTAGATAATTTTCCCACATGGATACTTTGATCTGAACTCTCCTATTTACTGAAGTTATCCTAATCTAGCTATTAGTTTTTTTCCATCACCTGATTATTCCAAAAATGGATGCTCTTAGTAATTTAACATATACTAAAACATTTGATGACAGAGAAGGCCTTTCACCTTGCATGTGAAAATATTCTATAAATTCAACAGGGTTTCTGCGGTTCATTAAAAGTCATTAAATCATTATTTTTAAATTAAGGCCTTAATTGGCCATAAAATTGAATAAATGTGATTATCGTGGCATTTAAAAAAAAAAAAAACTTTTCTAAAAACAATTTCATCCGATATATTTTATCACATATAACTTGTTCCGCGTGTTTTTTTTGTGGAACTGCTTAAAATTATTTCCAAGAGCTTTAAATTAGTTACTCATTCCTGTGTGAACCCTGTTCAAGTACAGGTTAGGCTTCATTCTTGCTCTGAGTTAGTTGTTCTTTCATCATATGGAATATTTTATTATTTTCCTGTTCACAACTATTCAGTTAATCAGTTTGTTGATGATTGATAAACCTAGATGGATCCAACAGTTGCAGCCTTTGTCCTGTTGCAGCTCAGGCTGTGTCTGGAGACTAGAGGTGGACCTCTGCCCCAGATTAAACTTTTTTTTTTCTTCCTCTAAACATGGTTTTCCCCAGAGCATGATGCTGCCTCCACAATGTTTTACCATGCAGAGTGTGATCAGAGTGATGTTGAGTGTTTTTTTGTTTTATTTATTCTGGCACATGTGGTGTTTGGCCAAATAGCTAATTTTAAGTCTCCCTCCACATGTTAATCTGGAATAAAATCATCCCAGATTTTCACTCCTCGATCTGAAATGGTCTGATGGGATTCACTTCTGTGTTGTTTTTCATTCAGCTTGAGGTATTATTTCACTAGTTTCCTAAAACCCGTGGTCATGACCATAATTTATGTAGGCTTAAAAGAGTCATGTCCTTATGTTATTGTTAAGCTCCTGTTCTCTAACATAAGGTAAAAAAAAATCTGTATTAGAATAAGTGAGGTCTAGAATGAAAGCCATGCTTCATTTCCTGTTTAATTTCTGCTCCATTTTCTGTTAATCTGTCCCGTTAAAACTGTTCAAACTTATATTTGTAACTTTATAAACTGAATATGAATAAGTCAAATATTTCACCCATAAACTATATGTTAAGTAAAAAATGGAAAATTTGATAATAAAATACCATATTTTTGTCAATATCTGATAGTTACAGCCTTCCTTTTCTGCTCTTGTTGTATTTTCCACTCCCACAGAGAGAGAAGAAGAGAGCTTTGTCAGTGGATCCCAGCAACCAGCTGAGCTCCACCCAGCTCGATCTTCTGTTGAGAAGCCGTTGCTGGGTCCTCAGAGCAGCAAAGCAGTCACCCCGTTTGATTCTGGCCGCGTTCAGAGCAAAGTGGCTTGTTCTTTGTTGAATGAGAATCCCAAAGAAAACCAGAACACTCCGAAACAGAACCAGGAGGGCTGCAGAAGGAAACCAGCCCAGAAGGAACCCGCCCTGCAGCTGGACACCCCCTCTCGATTCCTGGTCAGAGACCATCTCTTCAGGCCGTCTTTTAACTTCAAGGTGTGTTTAACTTCTAATGCTGTGATCGCACAATATTGACCTCCAGCTTTAAGTTTCAAGGGCTGCATCTGATAGATGAATGAATGTGTGCTTAGGAGACGCTGAGAGATCTGGAGACGCCTGATGGAAGATCGAAGCCTGTAGAAAGCGTGGAGACTCCACTAACTGATGTAATCAACAGGAACCGGAGAGTTGCTCTGGCCAACAGCTCAGGCAACAAGATCTTAGAGATGCAGGAGGTCTCTGCCAGCCCCCAGCTGGCACAGGAAACAAAAAAGGAGGTAGACCGTGGTTCAGATTGGTTTTCCACTTTCAGACGTTTACATTCAGAAATCTCTGAGGAAGTGAATCCGATGTTGTTGTCAGGGAAATTCCTAACAGTTTTTTGTTGAAACAAAGATCCCACAGAAAGACTCTGGACCCTTGAGTGGTGCTGTGATCTGTGTGGGGAAGAAACTGATCAAAATGCAAAGTGAGCTGAATGCCATCGCTGCCTCGCTTGGAGCTGACTTCAGGTACTAAGATGTTTTTGTGAAGGAACCCTTGGGGGAAGTTTCTTTAAAAAAAATATCAATGCAATAATATTTATTGATTTCTGAGTCAGTTTTTAACAGGAATAAAACGCATAATCCTCCTGACTTCCATTTTTGCACATCAGAATGGCCTTTTAAATTCAGCAAGGGTTGGTTATAAGTAGACTTCCCTCCATATTTGTTCGGACCTCTGTTAAACATCTGTAAAAAAAAAAAAAAGGCAGAATTTTTTTTCGTTCTCGTAAGATTCGAAAGTTTTTAGGAAAATCAAATCTTTGATTTAAATACTTTTATTCTGTGGATAAAAAGAACTAACAGTTTGAAGAAAATAAACGAGGCACTTTGCTGAATATTTATCCTGAAATCCAAACTTTTTAAACACTCTTTAGAGCTTGAACTCCTCTGCAGTCAGACACTAAAGCTCTTCTTGCTCTGTTTGGCATCTTGTCATCTATTCTGTATTTAGAATAACATGTATGTTGATGGACTGGGTTGAATTCACTGTCCTGCTGATTTATCACCCAGGGACGTCACTTATTCATGGCCTTTATCTTGTTCTTAGGTGGGCCTGCGACGATACAGTGACCCACTACATCTACCAGGGTCGTGTTGGGGATAACTCACGTGAATACAAAGCAGTGAAGGAGAGGGGACTGCATGTGGTCTCTCAGTACTGGCTGCACGCTGTAAGTTTCCACTCAGTAGAAATTAGATTTAAAGGAGAACCGAGGGAATTATTTCAGAAAGACAAAGGAAATTCCCGTTAGACAACGTTGTTTTATCCTTTCCCTTTGTGCAGTGTGCTGAGGAGCAGAGGCACGTCCCAGAGTCTCTGTATCCTTTCACCTATAACCCAAAGATGAGTCTGAACCTGAGCCAGATCCCCAGCAGCTCCCAGAGGTCCCCCCCTCTCACCCGAACACAACTCAAAGAAGCAGCTGAATCCAGGAACAACAAGGTAAGCCTGGATGTGCAGGGAATCCTAATCTGAACACCTGCTTCAGGATTATGTGTCTATTGATGCGCTCTTATTAATAACCAAATTCATATGCTTGTTTATTTATCAGTCTGAGCTAGTCGCTGCAGAGGGAAGCACAGTCGGACATCCGGTTGAAGGAGAAGAGACAAGTGAAACACCAGAGAAAAGAGGTTAGGTGGAGCCTTTGTGTGATTCCTCTGAGCCGTTCTCAGAGGAAAGTGATGATTAAAAGCCTCATTCTGCAGACACTTTGGAAATGAGAGAGAGCCTGCAAAGACAGCTTCAGGAGATCATGTCGGCCACCAAGATGACAACGGGAAGGCGGACTTCTGTCAGACTGGCCAGGATGGGATCAGGGTTCACTGACTCGGGTCCAAACACGCCTGAAGGGGGCCGGGTTGGACGCAGTGGGAGCAGACGGACCCTGGAAGCTCTGAGGTATGAAACCAAACTACAAAATAAAGAAGTTTCATTATGAGTATGAGCTATTTGGCTTAAAGGAAACCTAAAAGGAAGGAGGAAACATCTCATTCCCATAGAAAGAGGTTAGTTTGCTTTTTACATTAATGAATGAAGTCATGATTTTTCACAGGTTTTTTTTCCCTTAGAATATCTTCATACAACATTAGAACCTTTGTTTAACTTTAGACCTGCTGATGCAGATTTCCTTTTTTTTTTTTTTAAATCTTGCATAAAAAGCAATATGAACTGCTAGTATCATTCTCTGATTGCTTCTAGGACCCCGCCTGGCTTTTAACCAATCAGAGCTGAATATGCTCTTGATTCATGAGCTGTACCCTAATAATTATATCAGCTATTTTATAACTAATTCTGGTATAAATTGCAGGAAAAGAGCAGAGGCAGTGATACCTCGCCTTCTGTTTGAAACAGATCCTAAGAAGTCATTAATTTTTCTCCTTAATCACATGATTTATATCATCAGTTAATGATCAAAACCTCATATTGATCCCTGTTGAAATGGGGTTGAAGTTTTTAGTTTAATCTTTGCTTAATTTCTGTCATTCATTCCTTTAGAATAGACATTGTATAGAAACACTGAAGTTGGATGTAATCAATGTGGGATAATACCGTATATAATAAGATAACAGAGAGGAGCCTGGAGGATTCTCAACAGACCGATGGATCTAAACCCTTTGCTGTTCGTTACTGATGTGTCTGTTTTCCAGGGTGTCTAGAGAAACGATGATGGACGTAAACACTGAGCCTTCCCAGAGTGAGCAGATCGTTTGGGATGATCCTACAGCCAGGGAGGAGAGAGCCAAGCTGGCTGATAATCTACAGTGGCCTGGGAGTCCGTCTCAGCATTCAGAGCCCCTCGTGGCGGCCCCCCCTCCCACTGCAGAAAATGGACCACACTTCAAGGACTCCATGACAGACTCTGAGCTGGTGGAGATGGGTGAGAGCTCCCTCCAGTGGAATAAGTCACTGCAAGCACACAAATTAAGTGGAACTTGATATCTAGATTTCTCCTTTTTATTTCCACACAGCTGCTTGTGATGTTATAAACCAGCATATGGGTCAGAAGGTCACATCGCCTCCGTCAGAGGGTCCAGAGGAGGACATGCTTACTCCTAAAGCTCCCAGCATTGCCTTCCCTCTCCCCAAACCACTGGCAGCACCAGAGCCACAGGTAACGTTTACTCTTAACTTTACCGATTGTCTCAACCAAACTGCTGCATCTGTGAAGTTGTTTCATTTCTATCAGGAAAAGGAGGAGAAAAAACAGCCGCCGAGGTTTCAGCTGTCATCCCTCAGCCCTCAGGAGCGCATTGATTACAGTCATCTCATAGAGGAGCTCGGTGAGTCTATCACCTTTGTTGGGGATCAAACATCAAAATATTAAAAAGCTGATTTTTATACAATTTTTTATACATTCCCTTTTAATAAATTAGAATTTATGTAAAATAGATTTGACATTTTGAAAATCTTTACGGAGATACACCATTCATTAAGCCATTTTTTCTGTGCTATAAATGTTTTTTTATTCGTCTCTTGATATTTTTATCTTAAAAATCCAGTTTCAATTACTAATATTAAAATGAACAAAAAATAAGAGTAGAAAACTTCTATAAAATGTGCTACTTTACATACTGTTCTATGTTATTTAACATGACTATATATGACCGCTAAAGGTTTTTTAAAGGCCGATACTGATTATTCTGACACCAGTCTAACCGATCCCTGATATGTGATGCCAATATTTATGGGCCGATTCTTAGAGCCTATATTGTTTTCTTTTTCACTTACATAATAAATGACAATGGTGACAAACAAGTCTGAGTTTAAGCAGAAATAAACATTTATTGACGAATCAGATAAAATGTTAACAGAGTATAGCTAACAGAGGGAGCAGCAATGGAATGGCTGCAATTAACTGATGAATCGGCCTTTGCATGCAGGTATCAGCCGATACCGATTCAACTAGCTATAAGTTGTGTCTGACATAAAATCAACCCCTCTGAATGTATTATGTAAGAAAATTGATAAAATAACCAAACTGAACAAAACCAGAAGCTTGGTTAAGATTTCAGACGGCTCATGCTAACGATGCAACAGTGCTAAGAATCTATATATTAAAAGCTGTGTGCATAATTTCCAAATTGTGTGCATTGGAGAGGAAATTCTTAATTTCAACCTCTGCACCATATACACATTCGCAGAAATCCCTGTGGTTGTGTTTTTATGTAGATTCCAGCCATTCCATGTTATCACATCACTAGCCGTAGTGCAGCTCACTGATCCAGTTTGTTGTAACTTCTTTGTGGTCCTGTAGGGGGCGTTGTCCTGGACAAGCAGTCTTTTGACCCCAGCTGCTCCCACATCATCGTAGGAAGTCCACTGCGTAACGAGAAGTATTTAGCCGCCATGGCAGCCGGCAAATGGATCCTGCATCGCTCGTACCTGGAGGCCTGTCGCTCAGTGGGTCACTTCATTCAGGTGGGAACTCCCAAAGCCAGCTTTATGTTGTTTTATCATTCCTGGGCCATGATGGCAGCAAAACTATTTAAAACCTGATCCTTTTGCCTCTGTGCTTCACAGCTCTGGTGTGCTCCTCCTGTTTTCCTCCTCTTAAAGCCATAACCTTCATTACTAAACACGTATTCGGTTTTATCCAACCACAGAATTTTTCTCCATAATTGATTGTCTTTGTCCCTGAGATCATATGCAAACAATCTGGATTTTTCATGTTGTTTTGCTGTAATGGGTCTTCCTCCCTGAGTGGCCTTTTTAGCTCATGTTGGAACAGGTCAGGACTTGTTCCTCTGTGGGTCTCTGAACACGAGTCAAACTCAAGGCCAGATTCCGGCCAACTGTGGATATTTATCTGGTTATCAAAGGCACACTCCGTAAAATAGAGGTAGATGTTCTTCTTAGGTCTGAAAGTGGCAAAAATAAATGGAAAGTTAAAAGATTCATTTATTCAGCTGACTTATGAAGACCAGAGAATGATGAAGATGTCTGATATAAGAAGGATTTAAACAGCCCTGCCTGAACAGCTTCGGTAAAAAGCTTCACAAGGTCTTTTACTTTAGTTTTGGACTTTAAAATGATTAACTAAGCAAAAGCTATTAATCTCTTGGGAACGGACTCCTTCTCCTACCTGAACTGCCTCCACTTCATTGAAATGTCAGTGAACCCAAGCGAAACTTAGAAAGCCACAAAATTATAATTTCTTTTTTTTAAGCAGTTTTACTCTAATCTTAAAAAAAGCTAACTTTCTATTTACGGTCATCTTCTGGTTAGTTGATACGATTCCTTTACTTGTTTATATTAGGATATTATTTCTGCTCAGTCTGGTTTTCTTTTTGTTTCTTCCTGTGATGCAGGAGGACGACTATGAATGGGGCAGCAGCTCAATCCTGGATGCTCTGCCCTCCATCACCTCTCAGCAGAGGAGGTTGGCCTTAGCTGCTATGCGCTGGAGAAAAGCTCTGCAGGGAGGCTCAGAACACGGCGTACGTACCGGATCAAAACAGAACAATGAGTTCACGGCTCATTAATGCTGTTGCTACCAATGAGAAAAGCCTTTCCTCTGAACACCAGGGATCAGCCTTTATAGAGATTATTAGAAGAGGCTTGTAAATACCACAGATTAGGAAATATCTGTATTTTCTACATTTATTTGTAACAACACTTTTAAACAAACTTTTAATGTTTGGTTATATCTGCTTTGGGTCATTTAGTGTTTATTGATTTCAGCAATACTGTTTCTCTAGGGAGCTTTCAGTGGCTGGACTGTGATGCTGAACATCGACCAGAGCAGAGAGTCAGGCTTCAGGCGGTTACTGCAGTCTGGTGGAGCCAAGGTTTGTCCCTGCTTTTATTCTACAAGCCACATGCTGCCAAAACCCACAGCCCTGCACCAAACCAAGCTAAACGCCTCTATTGTTTGGAAAGTTCTTTGAAAGCACATTTTGTAGCTAGCACAGTTTGTTACAGCAGCTCTGCAGGCAGGCAGGGCTTCTTCTGTCGCATCTCAACACGACAGAGCTTCTTTGATCTTAGTGAAAGTCCAGACAGCATAAAGGGATCTATGCAGGACTGTAAGGAGTGACAAAGACCAGAGATGGCAACAGTTTTCTTTTACAAATCCAGCTAATAGCAGCTTTATTAAACTAAACTATAAGGATCAGTTTAATGAACAGGTGGGTTTTCTCCATCCTTGAAGTTAAATGAATGTTGGAACGTTCGGACTAAACCTTAAAAATTGTGATACTTTAAAAATACATCATTAATGTTTTGTGGAATAGTAAAATAATACTAACATTTTGCAATTTATCTGAAGTGTTTTCCGGTTCTAGAGAAGTTTTTGAAAAGCAAATAAAGGATGGTTTGATTTCTTTGTCTTACTACATTCTTATTTATGGTCTTAATGCAAAACGCATCCGTCCATCAGTTTCCTGTTTTTGTTTGTTACACATCCATAAACACAGTCCTGCATTTAGTAAATTTTTTTTATTTATTTCAAAGCTAACATTACTTTAAATTAGTGTATTAATACAACTAGCGAATCCAATTCCTACACAGAAATTTACACTAAACTCACTACAACTCTGCTGGCAGATTATGTTTTCATCATTTATTTATGAAGCGCTTTAAAAACAAAGGTGCTGCACAAGAACTGAAAAAATAAAATTTTGACAGTATAAGCAATAAAATGAGCAATAGAAGGCAAAGAACCAACAAACCTTATGGTTGTGCTCTTTGGAATTAAAAAAACATTTTTACAATATGACTTTTTCCTTTTCTTGTTAGAGTTTAATTCATTTAAGGTTCAAGCAGACCTTACAGAAAGATGTTCCAGAGACTTGGGGCGTAAAAGCTCTGGTTCTCCAGGTCGTCAGCAGCATAGACTCCATTTAGATCGTATTTATTAATATGCTGTAGAGTTCAGTTTATCTCAGTAATTTAAGATATAAGCAAGAACTGAAAGGTTGTCTTTCCAAAGTGAAAACTAAAACAACCACTTGTAAAATCTGAATTAATTGCATCAAGAAAGTTTTTGAAAACCAAATTTCTTCCATTTTGTAGAAATTAAATCATTATTCCTATCAAGTATTTCAGGACTTTCAGGTCTCTGTATATGGAGGACCAACTCTGCCATATTTAAAAATAAATACAGAAATAAATGCTCAATAAATAAATAAGCATACAATTAATTGTAAAGTAGAAATTAAATTATACAGTGAGACATAAATTTATATAACTCTTAATTAGCTTCTTTATTTATTTGCCTTTGTAATATTTACCTTATTTATTTTTTTGTCCTTTATATCTTCAACTTTATTTTTTAATTACTTATATTTTTAAGTATTTATTTATGTGCATGTTATAATATTTTTGTCTGTTTTATTCTTGTATTTTTTTACCCTAGTTATTTCTTCACCGCTATTTATTTCTGTCTGCCCTTTTTACATTTCTGTATGCATTTCTGCCTAATTGTGCAAATGAGGAGGGGGCGTGTCCTAGAGAATCATCTCCATATCTGAAGAACCTGCTTTTTTTTAAATCTGTTCTCCCCCTCAGGTGCTGCCCAGTCCCTCCCCATCGCTGTACAGAGAGACCACACACCTGTTTGCAGATTTCAGTCGTCTCAAACCTGGAGACTTCAGAGTGGATGTAGCTGAGGCCACAGCACAAGGAGTGACATGCTTAAAACCTGAGTACATTGCAGATTACCTCATGCAGGTGATTCCGCTGTTAAAGTGTTTTATCTACATAGATAGTAAACCAAAAGGTTTTAAATTAAAGATATCTGACAAACCTTTAGGTTGTTTTTTTCGATTTTTTTATTCTTCAATCCTTCCTATTTTCTAATATTTAAGGAACCAGCGCCACAGATCGAGCTGTACTGTCTGACTGCAGCTGCTCCTGAAGAAGCTCCTGGCACTAAACGGAAAGTAGAAGCAGACACTTCCAGGCTGAAGAGGAGCCGTCTGAACTAAATTGTTTGTAATTGTTTTAATTGTACAAAAAATGTATGTAAATAATATTTTTTTTTGTTAAATGAAATGAAATAAAATTTAGCACCAGTTATTTTTTCCTCCTGCCTCTGTTTCAACCATTGCAGATGCTGCTTCTCACGCTGAGTCTGCAGTGGTGAAAGCTGAAATATGCTGTACAGAAAATGTTGAATCATGGTTTGTAATTGGGTGCAATTCAATTCAGTTTATTTGTATAGCACCAATTCACAACACATGTAATCTCAAGGCATTTTACAATTCAACCAGATCATACAGTCAAATTGATTCAAAGTTTTTCTAAGGAAAACCAGTTTATTGCATTGACTCGAAGGCAATCCCTCTCACCAAGCAGGACAGGAACAGATTAAGCTACTATGAGAGAAAGCAGAGAGATCAAACAAACAAATTCTGCAGTGGAAGAATAGAGATGAAATGGGGGTCCCTATGTCCTCCAGCAGTCTAAGCCTATAGCAACATAACTATAGAGATAGCTCAGGATAACCCGAGCCACTCTAACTATAAGCTTTATCAAAAAGGAAAGTTTTAAGCCTAGCCTTTAACAATAGAAAGGGTGTCGCCCTCACGGACTAAAACTGGTAGTTGGTTCCACAGGAGAGGAGCCTGATAACTAAAAGATCTCCCTCCCATTCTACTTTTAGAAATTCTAGGAACTACTAGTAAACCTGCAGATTGAGAGCGAAGTGCTCTGTTAGGAACAATCATATCTATGGTGTAAGATGGAGCTTCTTTATATGTGAGGAGGATTTTAAATTCTATTCTAGATTTAACAGGCAGACAATGAGAAGAAGCTAGGATAAGAGAGATATGATCTCTATAATTTTCATCAGAACTCTGGCTGCAGCATTTTGGATCAACTGAAGGCTTTTAAATACAGTTTGTGCAGTAAAAAGCTGCAGCCTGTAGAGGGCAGTACAGGGTTGTGTTGAATACGATAAGTAAATCTTTACCAGACTAAATACGCTGTTTTAGGGCTGTATTTACTGTTTGTTATTGAATAGTTCCACTTTAAAACTGCAGAATCTGACACTTTTTCCTATTCAAACAAGAAATTGTTTTTGTTGCTTTAAATTATTTTAAAGCCCAGCTGTAATTCTGAAAACCAATTTATATAATGAAGGCCTTCCTAATGTAGTGAGCATCGTTTTGTCTTGGTGATACTCTTTGAATCAACAGTGTGCTGTTTTATGCCTGTTTGTAAAAAAGTATTTGTACTTCGTTACTTGACACCTCTGCTGATCGCACCCCTCACATTTAACTCTAGTTTTGATTCAGGTCAAATCTGAATCAGAAATGTTTTTAAATGTATTCAAATAACAGAATTTAAAGCTGTCTGATGGAGGGTGTGATCTCCTCTACAGTCATAGTTGAAGTAACAGCAAGTTATTGACTTAAGCTGATAAAGTTTGTTCTGGGAATTCTGCAAAAACCTTAGTACATGATATTGCCATTATGTGGGGATTGGTGGGCTAGTGGTTAGGGCATAGAGCTTGGAATTCTGAGTTCGAGCCCCACTCCCACAGACTGCAACTCTGGCTCTCTGAGCAAAGACCCTTAACCACACACTGTTCCCCAGGCACCCCATGATGTCAGCCCACTGCTGCCCAAGGGGATGGGTTAAATGCAGAGGTAAATTTCTCCAGAGATCAATAAAGTTCAATTATTATTTAAGAACTTTTAATTACAATAAACACCATTATGGACAAACTGAACATCCTCTTCAAAAAGCTAAGCTAATGGATAATGGTTAATTTATGAACTAGTCTGACAAAACAGCTTAGGTGCCATTAGGTCTTAATTAAATTATACTTTTAATAGGAAATACTTAGAGCTGTTATAAAGTATCTTAAGAATATAAGTTTATACAATAAGATTTAAAATATGTAGGCAAAAAAATAATAGAGAAGGATGAATGGGAAAAAATAAATATATATATATATATCAGGTAATCATCACATTGAAATGGCTCCTGCTACAGACTCCGGTATAGTAGGTGGCAGTATGCACCTAAAAGTCAATGTTACAATCTGCCAATAAACAAAAAGAAGACTTGAATTGTTCACCATTTCTGTTGTGTCCAAAAACCACAAGCATAAGTTTTATTTGCAAATTAAATTATGCATACCAACATTTCTTTTATTTTCACTAGAACTCAAGCATTCAGTCAAGTGCTCGTTGGAAATTGGCTTTACGCATGTAACATTTTTCAGTCCCCCCCCCCCCAGATTTTGCTGATCTTTTTAAATAAATCATGACCTTAAGAGATGTGTATAGACAATATATTTTTATAGTTCTAAATTAACCTAGACACATCTACATGATGTGAAATCTGGTCCATATGTTGAGGCTTCCCTCCACCTTCTGAGATTTTGGACTTTCTAGGTTCTAATATCTGGGCCAAATCCTGAGGGATTATGTATTCATTGTTCGCTGTTTTTCATTTCATTTGTCTGTTTTCTCACTTATTACCAACTATAGGTCTGTGCTCTTAAGATCTAAGGAGTTTCTCAGGTAAAGAGAGACTTTGGCTCAAGGATGGTCCAATTGCTAGAAAAGAATGAAGTGGAGGGTTCATCATGGGGGAAAAAAAAAAAAAAGCTAAAAAATGACTTACCTTCTGTAGAAATCTAGTCCGTTTTCTTGAAGTAAACAGTTTCTGGTCCCAACTCTAAAGGTTTCATAGAGATATTCATTCACATCAACCTACTGCCAATCTTTAGTAACCTCTGCATAGGAGGCAACATGATGCTGTAGCACATTTCCTCACGAAAACCCAACGTCTCTCCTGATACCACGTATGCTTGGCTCAGTAGCAATTATCTGGAGTGGAACATTCCTGAACATGCAAGGCTGTTCTTTATGGTAACAACTGCAAAATAGAGAATAGCTAAAACACTTTCACTTGCCTTGTAATAATTAGCCTGCTTATTTGGTTCATGCTAATTTCAGCTGGACTGCAGCTATGCTTATGAGTATACACAATAAAGGTTCTTGCAATTAACAGTGAAAGAAAAAGTCAACCTGATCCGCTAAGAATAGGTTTTGTAACGGGCTTTAAAATGTACTAAAGAATCCGTCAGGCCGACCATCACAAATGGAAAAACAAAAGGACGACACTTTAGGTTCCCTTTTATTCTTAAAATTTTATGTACAAGTGTGACTGATTTCATTTTTAAATGTACATTCAATATAGAAAGTTTATATACGTAATATTACATTGAACATTTCACAAATTGCACTAGTCTTTCACATAAGATTCAAAATCAGAGTCAAAGTCATTCATCATGTCTGCAGAAGCTCATTTCCTGTAGTTACTTTAGTTTTGATGTTTTTACTTAAATAATCTAGTGCTTTTTGCATTCTGGGGAGAGTTGCTTAAAACGTGGGAGACAAGGAAGAATAGAGCACTAAGAGAGAGAAGTATAAGGAAGATCGAAGGAAAAAAAGGCTGCTTATGAGGAGCTGGACAAGCAAAATCAGAAAGGTCCATATTAGTTTGGGGGGTTTTCTTCTGGGGTTGATGACAGAAAGTAATTACATTTTTTGTTTTCTTACTTCTGGTGTCATTTTTTTTCTAGTCCAAGTCAGAATACTGTGATGATTTTGCAAAAGGTGAATAGGTCAAGTGCACAAATGAGGCAAAATATCCCAAGATGAGGTGGAGGTTCTGGGATCTGACGATCAAGTAAAGACTGAAAGGAAACTAATTCCCCAATAATAAGACTTGGTCTTCCTGCATCTTTCTCATGAAGAAAAAAAAAATCTAGAGTAAAAAATATATCCATACAAAAAGTAAACCTTCTTCTGTCTAAGTAGCACAATGAAAAAAAAAAGTTCATTTGTTAAAATAAAGCAAATTGTAAAGTTTTCAGTGTCATCAGGAGGAGGAGAGTGATGCTGCAGGATGTGTGGCGGAGAACTTGGCGATGGTCAGTGATCCCCCCTCCCCTCTTCCCCCGGTCTTCCCTCTCCCATCCCTTCTGATGTTCGGGGGGCTGAACGTCCCCCTCTCTGAGCCGCAGGGCAGTCTGGGAGCCTTAGCCTGACTGTAAGTGGATCCTTCAACCTTGGTCTCCGCTGTCGTTGTCTACAGGGGGTGGGACGCTGGGCAATACTGTCGAACCAGTTCCTGCTGTGAGGTAACCTGCAACTCCTGGACCTGCAAGTCACAAGAACAGGGGGGTTAGACTGTGGAGAAGATATCCAAGATGTCCACATAGAGCTTTTCCTCATACTTTGATCAAAATGGTACCAAGACGTAAATAATAAAAAGTGAGAAACTAACCCACTGATCTCTGGTGGAGCCGGTTAAGGCTGTTTGTCACAGAGAAGCTGTGAAACTTTTTATTTTCGGGAATCACATCATGCAGCTTAAGTGTTGACATCCCTTCAACTTAATTGCATTTAGTAGCATTGAAACCACAAGCAGTATATTTACAGTTATTTTACTGATACAAAGTTTGTGCATTTTTCTCTCTAAAACATCTCAGGCAAACCTGCTGGAGAGCATCTGGAAACCAGAGGGATATTTCATAAAATGCGCTCAGAAAAGTCAGACTTAGACGCCTGATTCTGACTCTACACGTCACCTAAAGGACGCTTTGCTTGCTTCATCGTGACTGAATCAAGACGGATTGAACTAACGAGTGTCGTTGCTCATATAAGCAGACCAGGCAGTGGTTGGCAGTGTTCACTAAGAAAACATGGAGAAGCCTGAATGCTAACCGTACTTCGATGCCATCAGTTCAGAAAATTAAAGGAGAAATTTAAATTTAAATCCTTAAAAATAAGGGAAGGGAATGCCAGATTTCTGAGAAATTAAATGCATAATCAGTCACCTTTTTTATCACATTATTTTCAATGATATTTTCAAATTAAATGGTATTTTCCAATCAGTATCAATTTTGACAACATTTTAAGTTTTAGGCTTAGTTGTTTTGACAGAAATGTTAATAATCTTAGTAAACCCAAATTTAACTGTGACAGTTATTCAAAATGCTAGCTCTATTTGATTACGAAGCAACAAACAGATTCTTCTCTAGAAATCTGGACA